CAAGAGATCAGTTACCAAACAACACCTTGCTTATGTTTTTCAAAGTCATACAGCCTGTAACGCTGAGCATATCCCATCCAGAAGAAAAGGAGAGTGAAAGAGAGAGAAACGAAAAGGGGACAGAGGTTCAACCATTACTCACTATGCTTTCCTCAGCATGACAGCACTTAGCTCTGCCCAGCTCTGTCTTTGTTCACTTCACATGGAAGTGATGTGTCTGAAAAGTACCTATTCACCTGGAGGCCTTCCATGTCGGGAGAACAGTAACAGAGAGAATGGAGCTAAGTGCTCTCTTGCTTCCCCCTTCAGATAAGCACGCAAGGTAATACCTGAATCAGGCTAAAGCCTGGGAATACCTCTAAGCTGTTAATTGTCTGCTGAGAATGACAGTCACCTCAGTCAATCACTGACATAAGTGTGGATTTGTAAATCATACCTATACAAAGCTGTAACGCTTGAAAGATAAACCAAGGAATACATTTCCAAAGTGGGAAGGCCTACTATAAAACAAAAATGACTTTCTTTGACTGATGTGATGGGGAAGAGTGAACCAAGCTGCCTCAGGACTCAACTGCAGCCTTGAGCTTATGGATGAATCTCCTTTCTTCAGTTTCCACAATGACTGGGGAAGAGGTAAGAAAGCTTGCTTGAAACTCACTAATATCTGGAAAAGAATCTGGAAAAAACAACCTGTAGTTCTGATTCAGTACACAAAGTGGGCACACCACTCAGCCAGTGCTTGAAGGAGCAGTTCTAGGAACCACCCTTTCTCTCTACCTCTCAGCAAAGGGTGATATCAAATGAACAATGGAGTGAAGTTTGATTAAGTGAGAGAAAGGAGCTTCATGTGAGCAATACAGTTCTCCACTTTTGTTTCAGAAACCTATTTAATTGATGCAGATATATTAGTTGCCCTAGAACAAATTACTTTTTCACCTCTTCACAATAAGGCAAGATTCTCAAGCCTCTCTGGTCTCAACCCACAGAAGAGCTTGGAGCAGCAGAAAGTTGCATGCATTGTAGAGAAGGAATGTATAAAGCGTATAGCAAAGGCTGGAAACACAGGTTGGCTTTTAAAAAAACTAAGCCTAACTATAATGGAGGGAGAAAAATCCAAATCCGGTCCAGGCTCCCTAATGTGGTTTTGTTATTATGTGCCTTCAAGTTGACTGTGACTTATGGTGAGCCTATCACAAGTGTTTTCTTGGCAAGACTTATTCAGAGGTTTGCCACTGTTGTCCTCTGAAGCGGGGAGTGTGACTCATTCAAGATCACCCAATGGATTCCCACAGCTGACCAGGGATTTGAATCTTGATCTCCCAGTCCAGCACTCAAACTACACTACCATAACATAGATATTCCACTTGAGGGAAAGTGGTCCTTGACATAAAATGGTTCCCCATTTCAGATATGTGGAACCCTACAGAGATTTTCAATGCATTTTTACTTTTCTCCCTATCAAATGTAAGACACTTTTTAACACTATGAAAAGCAGGTAAATTGGTGGAAACTTTTATAGGTTACACCTATGAAGCCCTATATGGCTTAAACCCAGATTATCTGAAACGCCATTTTCCCATATGAATCTGACCAAGTCCTATAATCTTTGGGGGAGGGCTCTCTCTCAGTCCCACCACCTTCACAGCTTCATTTGGTGAGGACACAGGAGAGAGTCTTCTTGGTGGCTGCTCCCAAGGTTAGCCCCCTTCCCTGCTCTCACCAGCTGGCAAAGTCCTTTTTATTTAAACAGACCGACAACTTTTAATTAGTGGTGGCAAAAAGATCATTTCATAGAGTGTTCTGAGTAAAGGTAAAAACCTTTACTATATCTTGAATCTGTTTTCAACTGTTTTAAATTGTTTATTTTTTCCCCACACTTGTGTGTTTTATATTGTTTTAGCTATATTTTATCTTCAACTTCACAGTAAGCAGTCTTAGGACTCATATTGGGAAAAATGTGAGATATAAATTAAATAAATACATAAACCGTAAATAAAACCTGTTATACCTGTGAAACAGTGTCTCCTTGAAAAAGGTTTTTCTGGGATGGAGCCCAATGGACTCCATTGCTTTGCCAGACTACAACTCTGTTCCCTGCCCCTCCCAAGCAAGCTGTTGTGCCAACCACTTCAATATACTGCGACAAAGAATTCCACAATCTATCAATCCAGAAATCAGCCTTCTTACCTGTTCAAAGCCAGGTTCATTGTGGTAAGGGTTCTCCGTCATTAGGGACTGTATGGATATAAGAACTGAAGAAATACTTTGTGCAGGACTCCAGGCTGGTCCAGTCCAAGTGCTGCAGGACAAGAAAGCTGGATTTTATTTTCGCACACAGAAACAGCAATAGTTGTATAATAGGAGATAAACAATGTGTGGAATTCAATGTATTTTTACCTAAGTGCAACAAATCTGGAGAAACTAAGCTTCCTTTTTTAAAAAGTGTTATAGTCCTCATGTTGACAAGAATTAAATTCATGAGCCATTAAAAATGCCAGTTATGAAATTGGCTATTTATTTCCATTACTGAACAACCATTTTGGACTTTTGCTCATTTTTCCTTGGTAGACTTATTGGGGTACTTTTCTTTCTGTGGATGCATGCAGTAATTTTCGATTAATCTGTTGAGCATCACATAACAGCAATGGACAGACCAAACCCAGTAGAAGATGGAGTAACTCCCTTTTTCCTCCATCCAGTACCTATTATCTGCAACTTGGGAGAGTTACATTTTGGACTACAGCTCCCAGAGTTCAGCAGGCAATCCATCCTGATCCAAATAAAGAGCTTTGTTTATACCTCATCTCACACATACACTACACATATGCAGAGTTGGGCAATGGGCAGAGAATTCAACATCCTAAGAAGACTAGCATTGTAAAAAAATCACTTCTATTCCTCATCGTTGCAAAGATAAGATGTGCTGGAATTCTAAACTCTCAGGATCTCAAAGTATAATTTCCAAGAGTCAGGGCTCAAGGTTTCAGTTCTCCACAAAACTCCTTGGCTTTCCCCCATTATTAGCGGAAGTAGTACATAATGCAGGTACATATGTCATTTACACAGATAAGAAATTCCAAATTTTCTTGGCACCAGAATCTTGATCTGTGTTGTCTTTCTTTCTTGCTGAGTATATACACATATTACTGCATTCACACTTCAATTCCTAGAATTCAGCCAAAATGCCATTAAACATTTGTCTGTAACATCTGTTTTATCATACTATGATGCTTGCTTTTGCTACCATAGCCTTTTTCATGGTGCTGCTGAAGGAAGTGGCTGAGGCAGTCCCAGGCCACACACCCACTACAACCACCGCTCTCTGTGTGCCACTTGCTGGGTGTTTTGGACTACAAGTCCCATCAAGCTCAGCCAACATGACCATCAGTAAAGGCTGTGGGAGTTGAAATCTAACATATCTGGAAAGCACCATCTTTGGGAACCTTGCTTTAAAGCAGGGGTAGGCAACCTTTCCCCTTTAAGGGCCAAGGGACTTTAGCTCCCAAAAGCCTCAGCCATGTTGGCCAATAGTCCCATGTTGGCCAATAGCTCCTGGGATTCTGGGAGCTGAAGTCCCTCGGCCCTTAAAGGGGAAAGGTTGCCTACCCCTGCTTTAAAGCATCTAGGCAAAGGCTATCTATTTTCTTGAGTTACCAGCAGTTGGTTCTTAACAAATGGCAGCTAATGAACAATTCTTTTTTTAATTCATCAGCAGTTGGAACCTGTCAGAGAGAAGAACTGCTGGGGATGGCCACAACCTTAATGCTTTCAAAGTGAATCGTCCCTCCAAATAGTGTTCTCCAGCTGTGTAAGACCAAAGTGCCCATTTGTTTTGTTGTTGAGGATGACAGAAACTGTACCTGACCAAATCTAGAGGCCATCAAGTTGTCGTACTCACAGGCATTTGATGGGATGTGATTTACTGACTTTAAATATTGGCCATAGGTTATGCGATCCGCCCAAAACCCATCACTGGGGGATGGTGGAGATTTATTTTATATATGTATTTTTAAACATTTATTTATTTTAATTGTAAGATGCCTTGAGCAGTTTTTCAAAAAAGAGATTCAAGAAATAATGCTGCTGCTAACAACACTAATAGTCATACCATCTATGAAAGAATCCATTCTCAGGTACTATGGTATGGCAGATTACAGGCGATTAGTATCCTTTCTCCTGGTCTTGTTTTGTTAAGAGTGTCTAGCAGTACAGCTACACTTACTTCCCTTGTAATTTTTTTTTAAATCCTAATATATTTTGGAATGGATTCTGTCCATATAAACAAAAAACAAATAAACAAACAAAACCACAAAAACAAATACCCTCCTCTTCCCTAATGTGAATGAGAATAGGCAAGATGGCATGTGTGAGGGAATTTAAAAATAAATGGTTTGTGGTTTCTAAAAATACAGTTGCTTTGAAAATACAGAAAGACCGGAAAGAAATTTAAAAACTATTGATAGGTGAACTGAACAAGCAGGAGTTTTAGAGGTAACAGCAAGCACTGCAAACCATACATGTATCTATTGCCCATCTCTCTCTTGCCTCTAACAGGTGGTACATCTCAGATCCAAAGTGGCTCAGATTTGAAGGCCAATGACTACCTCTGTGATAAAATGCACATGGCCAATGGAAGTCAAGGATACAGATCTATCTGGTAAGCCTTACAAGCCACACTTATTTTCCCAAGGTCACTCTTAACATCAGAAAAAATAAAGGGAACACCATAGGCTTCCAATTCTGGGTGTCATGAAAAGGGATATAATTGTTTTGCTACTGAAATTAATGATGTATTTTTTACCAAGGATAGGGAAGGGTTCTTGAGGGATATTTCTGCCTCATGTGTCAAAATAACTTGGCTGGATCTGGATACTATGCACCTTGATATTTAGGGGTGGATTTGCTGCTCCTTCTCAGGCAACAAAAGGTCTAAGACTGTGCCTGTGTTCCCCCATGCCCATGTAATGGTTAAAATGGGCATGCTATGTGGCTAGATAAGAGCCACTGTGGTGTAGTGGTTAGAGTGCTGGACTTATGATTCTGGAGACCAAGGTTCGGTTCCCTGCTCAGCCACAGAAACCCACTGTGTGACTTTGAGTGAGTCAAACATTCTCAGCCCCAGAGAAATCTTTACGGGATCTCCATAAGTTGGAAATGACTTGAAGACAACAACAATAAATGTGGCTGGATGCCTTTTGGTCTGGAGCTCAGGCTCCTTGCTACTCAAAGTGGTAGGCTCTGGACCAGTGCAGTTTCCTGAGCCATTGGCTGCCATTCCCCGGAGTTTCCAGGAAATAGAGAAATAACTGAACCCAACAGGCACAAATATGATGCTGGTCCCTAGCACAATTGGGGGGGGGGGGAAGCACCACTCCCTACTAGATAGCCTGAAAAGCATTGCTCTAGATTAACCTATCTGTGCTGTACACACACATACACACCGCTTGAATATTTATTTTTTTAAAAAGACATACTACAGTCAGCTCTCCTTATCCACGGATTCTTTGTCCACGGATTCAAGCATGCACAGCTTGAAAATATTAAAATATATAAAAATTCCAGAAAGCAAATCTTGGTTTTACCATTTTATATAAGAGACACAATTTTACTATGCCACTGTATTTAATGGGAGTTGAGCATCCACAGATTTTGGTATCCACGGGGGTCCCTGGAAACAAACCCTAGCAGATACCAAGGACCCACTGTATTTGTACATCTGTTTCAGAAATGTGGCAAACTGAAATTACACTGTCACTTTTGCATAACATTAACACTTCTCTCAGACATCATACTCATTATTAAAATATCAAAAGAGGTAATAAATTCCAAAAAAGGTGGATCACATAAATTCCTTCTCCATCCGGCGATATTCCATGATAGGCGTTTAATTTCCCTGAATTAATTTTTTTCTGTCATAAACCTGCTGCTCTGTTATATAATGGACCTTGAGATCTAACGGCTGGTAGGTTGATTGATTCTGTACTTAGAGCTATTAGAAAATCAGTGTATAAAACTGCTGTTATTTGGCTTTAATTGTACTCAGCAGATACGTAAATTTCTTTCACTGGGTTTAGCCATTTGTTTTCATGAGACAGTTTCTGGAATCTTCTGTCTTCCTCTTTGCATGTTTTCCCCATGACATTTATAACACTGTGGCCTAAATCAGGAGTGAGCAAAGTGCAGTCCTCCAGATGTTGCTAGACTTGAGCTTTCAGCACTCCTCACCAGTGGCTATGCTGCAAAGGCTGATGGGCATTACAGTTCAACATCTGGAGGGCCAAACTTTGCCTATCCCTGTTGGATAAATCCAGCTTTAATCTCAACTAGAACCGACCCAGGGAATTAAAGAGAAAATGGTAGTCAACACTTATATAAGGTCAATTGATTCAGTGGGACTATTCTGGTTGGACTAGCAGGTTGATTACAGTTATATTTTGAAAGAGAAAACTAATCTTTAGCAAGCAATATGACATCAAGGGATATGTTCTACTTTTTGTTAGATGTTGAATAATCAAATTAAAGATTAGAAACTAAAACAAAAAAAAAAAACCATACAATACTGTACAGAATCACGCAGACAAACCCTTGAGAAGACATTACTGAGGTTTTGGCAACAACAGAGTTGCATGCAGAAGCACAGCTCTTCCCCAAACACCCACCTGGGCTGCTCCAAGGCCGGAAGAAACAACAACTCAAGTTGCTCAGCTCCTTACCCTAAAATACTGAGGCAGACCTTCCCATTGCGGTAGAAGTTAGGGTTAAACCTCACTGTGTTATTTCCGGTTGTCATCAGCTTGACCCGTGGTGGATGGATGGGATAATCTGGAGGACAGCGAAACAGGAACAAGAAGAAACCCCCTTCGTAAGGCGTGTCAAAGGGGCCTGTGATCAACGCATGAATCTGCAAGAGAAAAGCCCAGCTCGCGCAAACACATCCGATTGGGTGGAACACCAGCAGAACCTGCGCAGGACGCAAGCCGGCCGCTAGTAAAGAATCAAGGGTGGCTGTCTCCCCTGACCAACAGAAAAATTCAAGAAACCTCTCAGGAAGCTCAAGGGTGTGAATCTCAGGCTTCATGCACAAAGACAAGGTGGTAAAAACTGATTTTGAACCACACTCTTTCACAGTGTGTGGGATGGATAATGGAATTTTCCCAAGATTTCTTTCTTTCTTTTTTAAAATTCTGACAGGAGCTTCTAAAACAGTGCATCTTAGGCTATCTGATGTGGGAGACTGGCATTTCCCCCCTAATATACCAGGAACCAGCACCAAATTTGTGCCATAACTTTGCCTTCTGCCTTGGATGAAAGATAATGCATGGTCACCTCTGCCAGTAGACTTGAGCTTCTGACTCAAGTGCTGTTCTTGATCTGTTAAGTCCTAAGTGGTGTAGGACCAGGTTACTGAAAGAAATTCCTTTGCCCACATGAATGTACAGTCGCCCGTCCCAATTCACTGGGGATCCATTCTGGTCCCCTCTGTGAAAATGGAAACTTGCAAATATTGGAGCCCCCCAAAATAATGAAAATAATGGTGTGCGCATGGGGCCACATGGGGCCACACGGAGGTGTGTGCCGCCATTTTGTCCCTCCTCACTTGCCGTCTCACAAACAGTAAGACAGCAGACTCTAAGTCCATGAACGAGGAGGGATGACTGTACTTGACCCTTAACATTTGGCAAATTAAACCTACCTGGAGGCCTGCCATTCAAGTCAGTTTGATGGGAGGAGCACATGACAGGGTCCTTTTTTAGTGGGTTTCTGAAACCTCCCCCCTTGAAGGAGATTCACTTGGCTCTCTCCCTCTTTGTTCTGAAGGAATTGACTGGAATTATATGGTTTTCACTGGAATTATGGCATGCTTATGCTTTCCATTAAGTTTTAGATGTTGGTTTTCAATTCATTTTTTAAGTTGTCTTGAGAAAATGCTTTACTTCCAAGGGCAGAACATGCACTCCTAAATAAAGAAGCCAAACATCAGGGTCATGGCCCTTTGGTTCTTGGCTCAGCCCACATGCTGTAACCCGCCCCGATTGCAGAGCAGAGCGGCGGGCTATAAATAAATTATTATTATTATTATTATTATTATTATTATTATTATTATTATTATTATTATTATTATTATTATTATTATCATCATCATCAGGAGGTAGGGAGCTGCATCCAAAACTTCTTAGGGTAATTCATGCAATCAGCTATTAACCTGGTGTGTGCTTCGGCTACATGGCTTTGGGCATGTTAAAATGGCTATTTCAATTGTATGTGAACCCATCTATTAAGGACAGAATTGAAATTATTTCACACTTCTCCAAACATAAAAAAATTCAATGGTGAGTTTGTGGGGTAAAGGATGATCCTTGGAAAGGAGAAATGGGACTGTATACAGTGAAGCTGCTTAACAAGCTACACATCAGCTAGCAGAGTATCCTTCTTGGAGACACAGCACTGGGGCAGCCCTATCCATTTTTTTCTTTAACAGAAATTACCAGTATGGATAGGACTGCCCCAATGTTGTGCCTCCAAGAAGGATACTCTGCTAGCTGATGTGTAGCTTATTAAGCAGCTTCACAGTATACATAATAAAGAGAGTTTGAAGCAGAATGAGACCATTTTTAAAAAGTATGAGTCAAGGAAAGGAAATGGGGAGAAGCACACTCTAGTCCTCACAATGGGTAGCCCCTCTACAAGGCAGTTTTATCATTCACACCCATGGTCAGAGACTACAACACACCCACAAGGCTCCTTTTAGTGATGTTCATATGAAAAGGGGAAATAGGGATTGGCAGCATTTCTAATTACTTCTACAGGACCACGGATGATGGTGCCATTTTACAGTGAGACATAAACTAGAGACAGATCCTTAACCCAAGTCCTTACAATATAAATGCCAACAGAGTGAGTCAGAAGCAGACACAGTTCCCAGTCTGTTTCCAGATCTAATTCAAAATGCTGGTATTCATTATCAAAGCCCTGAAGATGTTGAGATCAGGTTATTTTAAAGATTCCCCCATCCCTCAGGTACCTTCCCAGTCATATAAAATAATTTCCAGGGTCATTCCAAATGAGATGAGACAGATGACCTTTCAAGAATAGGGATTTTCAGTGACACCCAGAATGTAGAATGCCCTCCCCCTTTGGTAGGTTTGTCAGCTTGCTGTGACGTTTACTGTGGCTTTTACCTTGGGTTGATTCTAATTCTAGTACCCACAGTTAGACCAAGCAGAAAAAGGCTGGACAATTTAATGTGGCCTTTACAATCCATCTTTTTTTGCTGTAGCCTCTGGCACAGAAAATTGATTTTAGAAATCAGGGTATAAATGACCTGATCTTTTTCCTGCAAAGTTAACATGAGGCCCTCAAATTACAGAAGCAATTCCCTGAGAGCAACCTCACTTGAATGTCTCTGTTTGAGGATAACTCACTTATTTTTTCCTGGTATTTTCAAACTCCTCTCCCTTTCCACAATACTTCTCTTTCCTTTTTTCCACTGTAAGCCTGAGAGTTGAAATGCGCTGTTAAATGTGACATAAGGTAGAATGTGAATATCACTCTGTGATAGAACATGATAACCAGTCTCCCTTCTGCTCTTCCCAGAGGCTGTGGACTAAATGGAATTGCAAGTCAGGGTGGTAAGCTGTAACATAATATCCTCTTTCTAAACCCAAAAGACACCCATTCCTTCAATAAGAAGCAATACAGAAGAAACAATTCATATTCCACTTACCTTTGTCATATCATGAGGGTCAGGCACAACAAACATTCCAGGAGGTGGCTCCTTATATATCGACATGATATCTCTGGAGGAGGAAATAAAATAACCAACATTCAGCTAAGTGCAGTCTCCCATGCATCTAGCTTTCCACTGCTGTTCCCAAAACCTCTAGCAGAATTATTTAGAAACAGGCCTGTTCAATTAAAACAAGAAACAAACAACAAAAACACATCAGAAAATGCAAGTCCTCATGGTTAGTCAAACAGTCTTCCCAAAATATTCAACCCCCCATGAGTAGCTATGTCATGCTTTCAGCAGACTCCCATCCCCCAGCTCTTATACTTTGCTTAATTTTGAGCAA